CAGTAAAAGAGAGCATCTCTCCTCTTGAATAAAGTAAAAAATGTACCACGTAAAAAAAAAAGCCAATTTACTGCACATTAAACTCCCTTTTCTGATGTGCAGCATGTAGGAAACCTTGGCTCAGAGGAAGTGTACTGAAAGCTCTCTCTGTTTACACAATGCTAAGTCTTTGTGTTTTCCATCTCAGTCCCACCGGCAGTTTCAATAGGCAAAGGCTCACAGTCAGGTACAGAAGTTAAAAAAGGTGAGACCTCAGGAGCGACCAATACGTTCAAAAAAAACCACTGTAGCTGGGAAAAAACCAGTTTCAGTTGTGGTCAGAAAGAGGTTGACAGAAATTTATTTGTGGTGTCAGAAGACAGGGAGCCAGAGTGGAGGGTAAAAAGAAGTTGGAAAAGAATTCAAATTCTCAAGGACAGGTAAGAGCCAAGAGGATGGAAGACAACATCCTCTACAAAGACAGCATAAAAGATCATCTAAAGTACTTTTCATGCTGTTGAAATGGGTTTTTTTCCAGTTCTAGCAAAACAAACAAATGTAATTGGGTGTGACTAATTACATGTTACTTTAACAAATATGCTTCAATTCACTGTAGTTCTTCTCATCGCAATATCTGCAAAGCCACTGAAGTTTGGGAATACTTGCTGCTTAAAATTCTACACTGGGTGCTAAATTAATGAAATGAAGATATTTTATAAATTCTTGCAGCTATTAGAGAAATTTAATTATTCAAAAATATTACTGAAACTGAGAGAATGTGCTGTACAAACACTGGGGCACCGGGGAAATTAAATCATTTTGCTGAGTGTACATAACGTATCACTCTGCTGCTTCCAAATTGCCTCAGAGCAATCAGTGAAATGACTGATTTTGCAATGAACAATGGATTTAAGCAGACCTATTGGGTCCTCTAGTGATGTCCCTTGCTGATACAGGTAAACATATCAAGAGTATTTTCACATATATACCAAATTCTCACTTAAAATCAGTTAGATTCCACTGTAGGAAAAATATTTCAGAACATCTGCACTCTGAGTATTTGAATCTGCCAATAAAACTGTATTTGTAGTTACTTAGCTTCTATTTTCTCCAGACCAATATTAATTAACATAAATTAGTCTTCTCCGTCTCTTGTGTTTAGCCCATGCAGTTTTAGAAACTTACTCAGCTGACTAAATCAAAGGTTAATTAAATTAAATCTAATTAAAACTTAAAGGTTTTCTATTCCTTCAAATTGTTGAACAGTATTTTTTTGAACAATGAATTAATCTGTTTTGGTTCCTTCTTTATTTTTTTGGAGAATCTGAACTCCAAAATACAATTTGCTGGTGCCTCATATGAGTGTCAAGACTTAACCCCTTGACAGGATATCTACTGTCAGATTGACAGAAATACCTTCTTTTTTCCATCCCCCATCACAGCAGAAGTTATAGAGAGATAGAACATTCAGAACCATCATCTGATCCACCGATGTCTACAAATTTTTGAACACCTCTGTATTTTGTATCTGGTAACTCTTCTGTTTTAATTATTAATTTCTCAGTGGAGGTTTTTTCATTTTCCAGTGCAAAATTTCATCCTATTTCTCTAATTACTGTCTTTAAGGCATCTAATCAACAAAATGAATGGGCTCTGCAAAAATACTGACTTTTAAAGTCCATGAGAGCTTTAATAGGTGTGTGCAAATTAAGATCTAAGGGAAATCCATTTGATCTGTCAGCCTTTGCTGTGCAATTCTGTGCAATGTGCTCTGGGGTGGCCCTGCTCGAGCAGGGAGGTTGGACCAGATAATCCCACTGTGGGGCCTTCCAACCTGACCCATTCTGTGATTCTGTAATTCCCCCTGACTGCTTCATATCTTTAGCAAATGCCATTAGTATACTTCTTTTCTTTAACAGTTACTCTAATTAAAGAAAAAATTTCCGGGATTGTAATAAACCTTCCTTCTAGCACAGTACTTCCCATTTCAATGCAATATAAATATCTTCCCTTCAACCTTTTTTTTGCTTGCTTTGCTACTCATGTAATAATCCTCATGATCTCTAGTTTCACTAACAATTTTCTGTGACCTTCTATTAGGTGTATGCTGAATGGTAAGATCTGCTGTATTTCTCTTGATTAGAAAATATACACTGTTGAAACAGTGAGATATCAGACTAGCCAGGAATTACGTGGTATTGCTGCTTTTCAGCTCATTTGCTTCCATATCTTTTCTTGTTTTTTCTTTGCAGTCTGTTGATTGCTGACCCCTGGTTTCAAAACCTTAGCAAAGAATGTGTCAAGAAAGATGTAGTCCCTGGGTTAATGAAAGGTTAATTCGCAGTTACAGGGAATGTAAGCATCCTCTTGGGATAAGAGACATAAGAAACCTCCCTTGATAAAGCATCTCCAAATAATAATTTTAATTTTTATTAATAATAATTTTAATAATAATTTTAATACCTTTTACAGAGGGTTTTTTTACAGAAATTAATATAATACTGTACACTAGAAAGTAGATTCACACCATCCCTCAGATTTTAACATACTGTTTCTGGAGGCAGCTAAATTACCCACTAAATACACATGTAGCTGTAGAATTCCTGAAAAGGTTATTTTATTCTGCAATGAGCAAGAACTCAGGTTTTAAGCAATAACACACCTACAGAGGCTCAAAAACAAGATGCTTTTTTTTTTTTGCCTGATGTCCACTTGTGTGACGTAGTCATAAAAATTCCTGACTCATTAATTCTAGGTCATTATACATTGCATAACTTGTGTTTTTAAGTGTTTTGCTTAACTGCTTCTCATTCTTCATCATTAATCATATGAGAAGATTTAATACAATCCAAAGGTCTATAATTTTATTGTGGTATGGGACCTTTCAAAGGAATCAGAGAAGCAAGGTCCAATGAATCACAGTGAGGTTTAGGTAGTGAGCCTAACCTCCTTTGGAAATCCCATCTTTGACGAGATCAGTACAATTAAGAAGTCTTTTTGACAGATCAGTGGGAAGAGCTATACCACATATCCTTGGGGCTCACTGCTCCACAGGGAGAGTACGTGACTATACTATTACCCCTCCCTGAGGGCACAATCAGCCTCTGTGCATTAAAGATACAGACTACAGGACGCTGTGCTCAGTCTCAGAAGAGTCAGTTGACATTTTCTTTAAAATTCTTGGTGCACTGATCCTGGGCTTTTAAGGACTCAATATAAAAAGATCTGGCTTAATTTAAAGCTAAAAAATATCTATTTGCCTTTCATTATACCATTTCAGGATGTACCATTTAGCAGTAATGGACAATCATATTCTGAAATTCTTCAATAATTTGTTTTAGATAGTATATATCTGTACCTCCACACTCTTACTTGCACATTTATAGAACCTATTGTCTGTAAGGCTGAAATAATAAATTAACTTAATAAAAAAGGCAATAAGTAGCTGTCTTGTTTATGATGTGATTATCAGGAGGGATATATTTTATATAAATAGCATTGCTGGGAATATTTTTGTACTAATGGAAGATGTCTCATAACTTAATTTTCATTTCATAATTTAATTCTTCCCCATCCAACATCCTTAAAACTATTATAGATAACTTTGTATGTTATGCAATACTTTCATACTGAAAAATATCAAAGAAACACATCACTTCTTTTTCTAAAGTGTTTTATTTGAGGAAAAAATAGAAGTTCTGAAAATTTAATTTTCTAACTAATTTTATTTTCTTTTCAATATCAGGGGTTTATTGATATGTTCTTTCCTATGATATTTTAGTATGCTTAAGATATTTATAGATAAACTAAGTAGGTAATTTTTAAAACAGTAACACTTAGACACATTAACTGTATGCCAAAAAATAGACTGTTGAAGCGTATACTTGAGGAAAAAACAATAACCAAAATTGTGCCAAATGGCCTAAGACAATGCAGAAAATATTTTGTACATTGTGGAAAAAATTTATTATTGAAATTTATGTTTGTCTTGGCAGATTAAAAGTGTATACATGCATTTGGTAATATTTTGGTAATAAACTTTGTGGACTAACTAAGATCGAAATTCAGACTCAGAAAGCGTGTATATTTGTTCTCCCTCCATGAAACTGTTGAGACTGAAAAATTATATACTAATAGGTAAAACACATGGCTAGTAAGGACAGAATAAAAACACACAGTAGAAGATAAGAAATGGGAGATAAAGTAGTTCTGGTCGGAAAGTAATTTCAGACCTGGTTTTTGGTATGGTTTTTCTGGCTCCAGCGACAAAATGAAGGGAAGCCTCATAGAGTAAGAGCAACCTTGAATCCTTCATGTATATCATCAAATAATTGCTTGTTAAATTCCCATCTGTAACTTCTAGACAATCTCTCTGCTTCTGATGGGTTGCACTGGTTGTCACTGGAAATACAACTCAAAGGAAACCTAAGTGCAGAATGCTATCTACACACTAGTTTAGACTATAATGTTTTTATTAGTCATTATGATGTCTGAGGAAGACAAGCCCCAGTTACATTTTTAGATTTGGTATCCAGATAGATCTCTGGCCAGGCAGAGTTCTTCTGTAACCTGGAGATTTGATCCCAAAATATACGAAATTTCATTACACTAAAGTGCTTCTTTTTCAGAAATAACTGCATTTTAAACTCTGCATCACTATAAATTGTTCTTTATAAATTATATTATATGATATTTTATTCAGCATTCAATCTCTTCAATGTTCTCCCACAGACTTTTTTCATAGATTATGACATAAATGAAGCACATTTACTGAGTAGGCCTTAACATTATAAACTTGGATTCTGTTTTATCTTTCTTTGGAATGTGGCAGGTGTAAGGTCAAGCCAGAGGGAGTCTACACTAGAATTTTAGTTCAGATCAGCTGTGACTGCTTTTGAATTTCTTCTCCTGGTCATCCCCGTTTTCTGCACTTTAGTTGCCATCACAGAGTTTTGGAGTGCATGACCTGGCTTCTTTTCAGGTGAACCCACAATCTCATGAGATAATCTCATTCTTTTCAGATGAAACTGAACTAGAAGATGGTCACCAAATGTTGGTGGGCCACAGGTTGAGAGTGCCATAAATCAAGGCCTCAGGACCAGACTGGAGCCCTCCTTTTGGCACTTCTCCACCAAAATCATGTGTGGTGTGTTCACTGCACCCTCAGCACCGATGTTTTCATCTCTAAGATCTGCTTCTTTTGAATCATGGTGATTTGTAATGTGGATATAACCTCTTTTGTGAATGTAACCTTTATACTGAAGTTATTGCAGTTCATGTGCTGGCCAGTTACAGACCGACTTATAGTACAAAGGAGGACACTGTGATAACCACTTGTAATAGATTTTGTTATAGCAGTTCATTTTATCTTAAATGTTTCCATTTCCATCTCAGTCACTCTGAAGGATGTTACAGATTTGATCTATTTTATATATATACTTATGATTGGTTGTCTTCTCAGAATCTTGAAAAATACTTTTCTCTACTTCTTTCTCTAAAAAATCAGTTTTCTTTTTTCATCTGCTGGAAGTAGGGTGCACAATGCATTTCTTTTTATTTCCTCTTTTTATTGTACCAGTGTCATCATTCATGGTTTTGTAAGTTGATCTTTACTTTCTCTTCTGCATCTGGGATTAAAATTTACAAGATATTTTGAGATCTGCAAGACTTAAATTAAGTCTAAGAGACTAAGCTCAGAATTCCTGCTTTGATATAACTTATTCTCATCTAAGAATAACAGTCATTTGGGAAAAATTACACATTGAACTGCTTCAGGTTTCAATTTTTTTTCCTTGGAACATAAATCAGTGTGTTTCAATTGTCCTATTTTCAGTATATTTGAGTAACGTTGAATATTTGAGATTGATAATGCGTATTATACACAGGATCAATGATAACTTGTCATGTAACATTAGGGTTGGTATAGACATGTGACACGTTTGTTGCTCTTTTGAAGCAAGAACTTTATTCAAAGGAAACAGTTCTCACTATAACAGAGTCAGAACAGAGGAAAAACACCAGCACTGCCTGCAGCCAAGGCACAAGATTGAAAGGTGCAGTACCCCATTTATTCTAAAAAGTGAACTCCAAACCAAAAATCTCATTCCAGACTCTTAGGCTGTCTCCTTTCCTATTGAGCTACCTAGTAACAATAAAGGAGAGAGAAATACAAGATAAAGAGTGGATATGGGTTTAAAGTACTGTTCCTATTAGCCTGAATTCTTACAGATGTTTTAGGATTGTGAAAGATGAATGCAATATTTCTTTAATGTCAGGTGAAATACAAATGGATTTTATATAAAAAGTAGAGATGTAGGATAGAAGTAGGGAGCATGGCACCAAAAATCTCACACTGCCTTACTACAGCAGAAAAATTGTTTATTCCCTATGGTTACCATATAATCACTGAAAAATGAGAATACTGGTATACATCCACAATCCTAATATTTGCAGAGGATTAATATAGCACTTTTGTGACAAACGTATCTTCAAACAAAATAATGCCCTGTCCTCAAAATGCATTGTAAGGCTTCAAATACTGGAGAAAGTTTTCTTCTAATAGTTCAAAAGAAAGGAGCAAAACAATTATCCCCCAGGAGAAAATAAGTGTTGACACAGTCACCCTTTCAGGATAAGACCACTCAACAGCCACTGCTCTGACTGATGTCTGCATAGATTTAAATGAGCAAGCATTGCACTCACGTGGGCATTGTCTGTAGTGTTTTCATAACAGTGTGGAGTTCAGTGTAGTCAAGAAAAACTAAGTAAGCGGAGCTTCTGCATAATCCATACCGAGCTCTCTGCTACCACAGTTAGCTGCTATCTGTAAAAATCAACAAATCTAAAGCTATGTAGATGTAGGTGATGAAAGATCAGAGCCTTTTACCAGAACAGAAGTATGCAAATGTTGCACTTAGTAATCATGAGGAAAAATGCCTTGAAAACTGCAGATAGAAAAAGGAGATATTCAGAGTTTTATTCTGTTTGCCACAATGCCAAAGCATTATTAATTGCAACAAATAACTAAAGTTTGTGAATATTTGCATTTATAAAGGTTTTTTAAAGTAATTATGGAAGTTAACATAAGCTTGAGCAACTGCTTTTTGTGAATAACAGACTCATTTAGTTATTTTTGTTGCACTTACGATCTCTGACCATATTTCTTCTACATTCTTTTACAGAAAATAATTTCTTCAATGTAATTTTCATCAAGGATTTAGCATAATGTTAAAATAATAACATTTTATTGTAATAACCCTTCATCAATCACTATTTATCTATGTTGTCATTGCCAGTCTGCTCTATAAAATTTGAAGTTCATCTATGAATACAAACCTTAAAAAGCAGACATGAATGATCTATTCTAAGGCTTTCCACTGAGCAGATAAAATTTGCTCAGATATAAGGGAAAAGCAGGTATGTTATTTGTTATTCTAAAGATTAAGAGTTTTCTGTGAGTGATGCATTAAAGGCAATACTCTCAAGTACAAAAAAAAACCCAAACAAACAACACTTCTCACCCCATAAAAAAAAAAAATAACAAAACAAATAACAACAAAAAGAAAAGAGAAGGAAAAATATAATAATAAAAAGAAAATCTTAACACTCACCCCCAAAAAAAAACCAAAAAAGGAAACCCAACTCATAATGTCTTCTCAACCTTTCTTTCAAAGTGGAATAACAGTGAATAGTACCAAAGTATCATAAAGTTTCTTATGAGTTCATAATTCAGCAGGTACTTTTAGTGTCATATTTGTGGGTTGTTATCCCTTTTCCCCTATCAGATGCCACTTGAGAATGTAGATAAATTGCTCAAACATGGCTCAAAGAGTTCTGTTTCTGCTGCTCCTCTGAGAACATTTGGTTGATTTTTGTTGTTCTACTTGGGTTTTGTTTGTCTGTTTAACACTAGTGAAAAAAAAACAAAAACACAACAGGAAGCTGCAATGTTGATAGTGAAAAGTATGTTCTGCCTGCTGTGTTCCCTCAATACCTCAGGCAGAGCAGCCTCTCATCTGCTGGCTCTGGCCAGAAGCAGAGCATGGAGTGGGACATTTTGGGGGAATACAGGGGTAATCAGTTAATTTTTTAATACAGCTTGTGAATTACCCTTTTTTTCACCTGTCAGTATTGCAAGTCATGAACAGGGGTCAGCTTTTAACTTCCTCTTAGATGACATCGTGTTAATATGTGTTCTCATCTGAAGATGGCATTTTTCATCATGAAACAGTTTTCTATTTAACCATTTTTTCAGACTCTCAAATATATCTCAAAGGAGATTTCCTTGAAAAACTTTTAAATTAAAAGGGCTCCTTTAACAGATTGCTTTGTAAAATGTTGAAATATGTTAAATTCTTTATGTTAAAACTTTATGGTGTCTCAATAATTTTACATTGCTTCTCACGAAAGGTTAAGATTATACATTTCTATTTTTGCTGGTGAAATAGATGTTTAGTAACTGGAATATGATTTTACTAGTTTATTTTGACTTTGAAATCATGATGGGAAAAGAATAAACGCCATCTTTTTAAAAAGAAAGATGATGCAAAATTAAAATTTTGATAATCTCAAATGGGTGCTCAGAGATAAATGTCTTTGGAAAGCCCTTTTTCAGGGAGGACAAAAGTATTTGAAATGATAAGTTTGATGGATTTAATCGAAACATGATCTCATCAAAATCTAATCCCTTTTATATTCTCATTTTTAAATTCAGTATCCTTGGTGCCTATACCCATCAGAATATACTTTAATTAGGTCTCGACTGAGTGGCTATAGAAAGTCTGTCTACCAACTCTGTCTTGATTCATTTATGGGTAAGAAAGAAGGTGTCTTTTCAGTCAAAAATAGAAACCTTCCCTCTTGCATCAACAATATTGGACTCTTAGAGGGATGTAGAAGCATTAGCTAAGTAGGTTTTTTATTTAATTTAATTTTTAAATGTCCTTGTATCTCTGAATGATCTTTGAAATACAATGGGGAAAAAAGTAGTAAATGATTAAGGAATCTCTTGCTGTGATGTTTCTAATTTGGGTGGAGCCAAGGTGAACTGCACATCACATGAAAACTCTCATGTACTGTAGTCTGATGATAATGCTGAAAACTGAAGTGTTGAACAGACTGTTTTGAACAATTTAATCTGAACAAAACCTCCAGAGATTTTGTCGGTTCCTCAAAGCAGTTTACATCATATGGGTTTAAAAATAAAAAGCCAAAACAACATGTTTTGAGGGATATCAATAAATTCATGCTGTCAAGAATTTATAGTTTTTCCTGTATGGCCACAATTTTATCGCAGAAAATGTATAGTGCCATTTGTAATAGATGGGACTTTATTAGATGAAAAATTGACCCTTTCAGAGGAAGCTAGTGTCCTTCACTGGTTTTATAATACAAACATAAGTCTTGGAAATAATATTTGGACCAACAGTGCATGATAGGAAAAGGGGTAGTGAGAACCCTGGAGAGATGCAAGCTACTGGAAGTAAATGCAAGTGGAAAATTAAAACATTTTTGAGAATGTTTCCATGAAAAGCGTTTTCTTTCTCAGTAAAAAATTCAGATATCCCTTGGCCAAATTATTAAAAGTAGGATAATTTCTTCGCTATAATGTTCACATATCTGACCTATTAAAAAATCTAAGATATTTTCCATTTCTAATTGGTAGGTAGAAGGCTTACAATTGGTTTCTTTTCAACAAAATGTCTGGACAAGTCCAAAAGGTTAGGGAAACAACAAGAAAGCTGAAAAAAAGCAATTTGAGGAAGTTATGATGTCTTGAGCTAGAAAGCAATAGATTTGTCTGAAATCTGAACAAACTTGCAAAGGGCTTTACATCAAACCTGGATGTTTGTGAGATCTGAGACACATGGAGAGAACTTTTGTACTTCTGTTTCCCTTGGGAAGTAGGAATGATATGGTCTAACTGAGAACTAAGATACCTCAGTCAACGAATTAACAGTACCCAGATCCTACCATTAAATACACAAGATGAACATGATGTCAGCATTTGCTTTTCTGCATAGATTCCAGAAATAAAACACTTCTGATATGAGGTCTTAGTATTTGGAAAGAAAGGATGTCTTCTAGCGCAGTGTTTATATAGTGTAAGCTTACAATAACATTTTAAAAGGTGAAATATTTGCACTTGAACCCATAAGTGAAGAACTTATGTACCTGAATACTATGCATGGCATATTGGAAGGAGACTCTA